CACACATAATTTTTTATTTTTGACGATAATGAGCCTATTTTCAACATTCATTTGTTTGAATGCACTACATTTAAAGAGGGCATGGTTTCCTTTACAATGGATACATTTTTTTTTGAGTTGGAATGAATTGAATTTATAACAAAACCTTTTGGTTTTGCACCGATACTGGGTTTAGGAGGAAATTTGATAGGCATATTTTTATGAATGCTTTCTAGTACCAAAGTTCGGTTTTCAAGAAAATTTAAAAATTCATCGAGTAATGGAACATCTTTAGATTTTAAGGTAAGCTCAAATTGCTTCGGTTTCCTTGTCAATTTTCTGAAGGAGAATATTTATTAAAATTGCGTTAGATAGCCTATCAAGATTGTACTCTAACATTTTAAAGGTGCGTAGATTGCGTTTGGTATGATCTAATAATCGGCGAAGTTCCTTAGGTGATTCTTGCTGAATTTTTTCTTGATTCAAAATATTTTGAATATGACTATCCATTATCACTCGTTCATTTTCATATCGTTAATTCTAAAGCTTGAAACAGTGACTGGTATGTATCGTCACAATTTTCGATATTTTTTGCTTCTCCTTTAAGAGCAGCCTTTAAATACGAGGGCCATCCAGGAAGTAGATTACGTTTCCGTCTGTGTCCGCTAGGGGCGGGGCTAGCGCGGCCATCTTGGGGTCAGAGCGTTGCGCAGCTCAGTCTGCATCTAGCCGTGCTAGTGAGAGGTTCGTGCTGTGCTCCGTTCAGATACTGTGACGGTTTGAAATGTCTGTGTTAATTGAAAATCCCGCGAGCTGCGAGGTGCGCTCAGTAATAAGGTTTCTGACTGCAAAAAACTGTAAACCGATAGAAATCTATCGGCAGCTTCGTGAAGTGTATGGGGACAACATTATCAATGAAGGTGGAGTGCGTCAGTGGGTCATAAGATTTCAAATGGCCGAACCAATGTTCACGACGAAGATCGAAGTGGGAAGACCCAGCATAGTGACCGCCGAACTTCTCGAAAAAGTCGATGCTAAAGTCCGTGAAAATCGAAATTTCACAATAACGGAACTTTCTTTGAGTTTTCCACAAATTTCGCGAAGTTTGTTGCACGAAATCATCAGCGAAAAGCTTGGTTACCACAAGTTTTGTGCAAGATGGATTCCAAAAATCTTGACAGAGGACCACAAAAATCAGCGAATGGCTGCAGCGTTGAACTTTTTGGACGCTTACCATAAGGATGGTGACTCTTTACTCGATCGCATCGTTACTGGTGACGAAACATGGGTGAAAACATGTGAACTGTGAAACAAAATTGCAATCAATGCAGTGGGGGCACACAAGTTCTCCCCAAAAACCCAAGAAATGCATGCAAACAAATGTCGGCAAGGAAGATGATGGCGACTGTTTTTTGGGACAGAAAAGGTGTAATTTTGGTGGACTTCCTGGAAAGAGGCACTACAATAAACTCTCAAAGGTATTGCCAAACTCTCCAAAAACTCAGAAGAGCAATTCAAAACAAGTGCAGAGGAATGTTGAGCTCTAAGATCTTGTTGATTCACGACAACGCCCGGCCCCACACGGCAAATGTCACTCGTAAAGTTCTTGAATCTTTTAAGTGGGAGTTGTTTCCTCATCCGCCGTACAGTCCCGACCTGGCACCGAGCGACTTCCACCTATTCCCAGCAATGAAGAAGTGGCTGGCTATGCAGCGTTTTGATGACGACGCACAGCTGCAAGAAGAGGTAACGAAGTGGTTGAAGGCGCAGGCGGCCGAATTTTTCGACAAAGGAATTTCCAAGCTCGTACATCGCTACGATAAATGCCTTAATTTGTATGGTGACTATGTAGAAAAGTAGTATTTGAGTGTGGCTTTCATCTGTATATAATAAAATTTGTTTCCTATACTTTGTTTATTTTTTTATTCCAAAACGTAATCTACTTTCTGGATAGCCCTCGTAATAAAGTTTTTGTGTTTCAGTTAGCCTTTTATTTTCAGCAATTAAGGATATAAATTGGCATTTAAAATCATGAAATTTTTCATATTTTCTAGAGCACTGAGGTAACAGTATTTTAACATTAATATTTTCAACAGTACTATTAAGTAATGGTAATGCATTAACTTTTGATTTTAATTTTGAAAGGAGGTATTTGGAGACCTACCTCCATTTTTTCCAGATCATCCTCTAGTTCTTCAATAATTTCACAGGATTCCTCTATGGAGACTTTTGCTGGTAGATTGAAGTACCGCTGTTTTAATTCATTCAAGGATTGCTTTATTCCTGATAACGATTGCAATTTCACTTCTAAAAATGATTCACTTTCTTCATTTTCGACCAAGTCGCGCAGAGAATGTTCCTGTTTTGTTACTTTTGCTTTTAGACAACCGCGTTGGCTATTCAAAGATATTATATTATCCATAGTTGCTGTTCTTTCTTCGGGTCGATTAGGACGAAAATGTTGATAGCAATTGGTAGTTGTGGACTGTATATTAATTCATAAAAGTCAAGTTGAGAAATTTAACATTTATTTTCTTTCAAGCACAATAATGCCGCTTAAATGGGCAAAGAGTGAGTAAGGAACAATTAACAATTGACTGCCGCTTTGTTCGGGCAGAGGAATGGAGGCTCGGTGTGGACCAAGTGCATCCCTATCGCTTACTTATTAGTACTGGGCTCTTGCCACTGACCTTATGTGGCGCTGCAAACGTTAAGCCAGTACAAATACACAGAAATATTCTAACCGAGACGGAACAGTGGTAGCTACACAAAGAACTGATTTCATTGTGCTCCTGAAGTTGAACAGGACTGTAATTTTAATCAGTTCACATGCATGTACCTTACATTAATTATCCAATAAATATGGCTTTGATATCTTTTTCTTCATGGTGCTGCATTTTGGATAGCCAAAAGTGTATCTTTAAGATAAAGGTCCTCTATTTACTAAATTAAATTGTTGGCCTTAAGTATTGCATTTTGTTGCATTTATCTTCTTTCATGTACAATTTGATTGCATGAGATCTGAAATACTTGTGATTCTCTTTTAAAATGGCATAAGCCTGAAAATAATGAATTGCTTGTTTTTCATTTCTTGATAAACGTAGTAAACAGTGATGCTGAATGTACTAAAAATTAATACAAGATTACAACCGTTGATCACAATTTACCTTAATTCTCGAGGAAGAAGGATTATTAATAAGAAAAGGAAATTAACAAAAAAAAAAAAAAAATTTTTTTTGTAGAAGATTCCTGAGCAACTTCTAAAATTGACACAGTGCTTGCAAATTTCAAATTCAAGGGCTGTATTTTTGGCAGTCAAACGGGTTCACAGAACGTCTCTTCTTTTCAGATTGGAAATAAATTATAATAATAGTTCAAATTCAGTGTTTCTTTGTTAGGATTTTCTCTTATAATATGTTATTTTGTCTGTGCATGATATTATGACAAGGGAGAAATGCGTAACTAACTTAGTAAGCTTCCCCCATAATATTGCATTTTTGGAATTCTATGCTTAATGATACCTCTTGCTATTCGAATTTCTGTAACTCTAATTTTACTGTTAACGCCAGGAAAAAAACTTATAATGCAACCTAACGCTCATCTGTTTACAGGAAACTCATTTTCTTTAACTAATACTCGCCTGGATCCTCCTGTGCATGTGGGTCGTATAATAGATTCAACAAAAACTGCATAATTTTTTTAAAATTTTTATAACTACTATTTATATTAAATTTTCTATAAAAACAAGCCAACATTTAATATAGTGATGCATGCATTATTGTAAATTCAAACTTATGCTGTCTAATCCTAAACAAGATATAATAATAAAACAAAAACTGTTAAAAGAATGCCAACAAAATATTATTATAACAGAAACTCATCTGTATAATACTGACTAAATATTCTTTAAACAGGAGCCCGATAATGTTAATTATGATGGGGCCATGTGTTGTCATGCCCACTTCCTTTGGATCGTTTGATGCATATGGGCCATCAACAGATTCAACAAAAAATATGTAATTTTTTTTTATGCTATAACTATTTATATCAAATTCTAGAAAAACAAGACTTATAATATAACTGGTACTGACACCTTTTGCAAATTCAGGAATATATAAACTGCAATTCAAGAAATAGGAGATTATTGGAAAAATTAGGAATCAGACTCCTATACAACTACAGTAAAAAGTAATTCAGAATAAACTTTTTTTTCTTTAAATATTAAATAAGCTGCTTATAAAACTGAGAATCGACTCTTAGAATCTTCATATCAACTGATATTTTTACTTCTAAAAAATTTGCAGTCTTCAAATAGTTTTAATTAACAGAACATCATGTCACAAGAATGTACTTCGAGATGTTGTTAATAATTTTTTGTTGTTGTTGTTGTTGTTGACAAAATATTGGTAAATTTTTTAAAAACTTTACATTTAACAGCCAGCAATATAATGAGAACGTAACTTGAAATGCTATTATTTTTTGTTACTGCCTAAAAATTAAGTGTAATTTAATTTTTTTTAAATAAATTATATTGATCTTAGAACACAATTACTTTTAGATATAAGATTAAATTAATATAGATTCATAATTTTTTATAACTAAATTATGATTTTATGTTTTATTTACTATGGCAAACTATTGACAACATACTGAATGTTCCATTTTTTATTCATGCCTGTATGATTATATGATTATAGCCAAAGAAGTATTTCCAAACTTATCCAAAATTATTTTTGTTTCAAACTTCTGTATGAAGTTTATATTTTTGCTATTAATTTCATATCCTGTCAATAAATGGCTTAGTTTGTGAGCACTGTAACTGTAGGAAATTGAAATTTTCATAAAAGATTTTTTTTATCCATTTGCATTTTCTAATTTATTTATTTTGCATTTGTAGATTTTGCTCATAAGCTTCAGCAATTAATTGCATGTTCAGTTTAATAAATTCTTATAGATTTTTCTATTGAATACTGTTTGGTTATTATATTTCTAATTTTTTAACTGATATATCTGAATTTTAGGTATCAGACATGAAGGGACAATGTGTGACACTTGTCGACAGCAACCTATATTTGGCATCCGTTGGAAATGTGCAGAATGTACAAACTATGATTTGTGTTCCATATGCTATCATGGAGATAAGCATCATTTAAGACACAGGTTTTTTAGGATTACAACTCCTGGGAGTGAAAGGTACGTATTTATTACTTATTTACGTATTTAGTAGAGACTTTAATATTGTGTAAAAATTAAATGTTAGTTAATTGTGCCATTTTTACTGCAGTACAAATTCGGTTATCTGAAAATGTTGCAATTCTTTTAATGCTTTATATAAGTTAGCTACAAAAAGCCCCCTGCCCTTCATTGTAATAACATCTTGCAAGCACTTGCGATATCATATTATGGATTTTGTGTCTGTACCATTTTCTTTACAAGAGCAACAGCAGTAGATTTTTTTTTCTGTGATAAACTGAGGATTTATTTGTGTTCAACAAAGCACTTTTTCAGTGCCTACATTCTTTGGTTTTATAAGAGCAAAATTAAGATTATGGAGAAGTACAGGATGAATCTTGGGCCCTGGCCTTGTGAGCCTTGGTGGTCATCATGCCCTAGATTGCATGTAACAATAATAAGAATTCAAAATAGCCTCATGAAGCAGTCTGGTTAAGCTAAGATTCCAATTCATTCTCCTCCCCAGAATATTAAAAAAAAAAAAAAAAACTTGTTAAAACATTTGGAATTCATTCCAAATGTTGCCTTTTTTCCCCCTTTCTGAAAAAAGGCTGTTGACAATGAACTTCACTTCATTTTTAATACAGTACAAAGTCTTTAATCCGGAATGATCTATTATCCGGACCTTATGCGTTTGTACATGCACATAATACGTTTACACATGTGCATTTAATGCGCGCATCCGCTACTCATGCACGTAAACAGAAGAGAGACTGTTTATAGAAGAGAGATGCTTTAAAGGAATATACATAAATTTATTACATATTAAGTGTTTTTATTGTTAAATTAAGAACCTTTATGAACTTTAATGATTTCGATCAACCAGGTGCCTTCTCGAGATCACATGACTTCTCCTCTGACTGCCTCCACGCCAGCATAACACATCTTTCATTCTTATTTTACATACTAATGAACTCGCATTTTGAACTTTCGCCTTGTGTGACGATGTACTAGAAGTACATCTTTGATTTCTTTTAAAACCGAGCAAATGTTTAAATGGTTATAATTTTCAGGATACTGGTTAGAACTCTTTGTAGTTAATGCCATCTATAAAGATAAGATCTAAGATCCATAGAAGAGAGAATTAAAGAGAAAGTATTAGCACAAAAAAACGAAGCAACTTAAACAACTAACATTGAAAGAAATGTTTAATAAAGTAAACAAATAAATATTAAGCCTTTTTTTTTTTTTTTTTGTAAATTTTGATACCCTTTAGATCATAATTGCTCTTTATTTCATAAATTACGATCTCATATTTTTAATTTTATAATTTCTGCATGCATTTAAATTGATGATCTATAATCCGGAAAAACTGCTAATTCAGAATTGCCGAAGTCCCGACGAGTCCAGATTAAAGACTTTGTACTGTATAAGAATATAAATTTACTAGTGGCCAATTCAGTAATTTTCAGGCTACACATCGATTGATCTTTAATTAGTAATAAATAAGATTTATTAGATCTGTTTAAGTTTTTTTTTGTGTGTAAGTTGGATAAAACTCAAGTCATTTTGTGAGTTCACCAATAAAGTAGTTGTTTTCTTTGAGAGCAAGATAAAGTGGTTCTTTTTTCCTGTCTTGTTTTTGCATTTGAGAGAGTCAACACTTACTGTGCATTGCAGTCATAATTCCGTTTTTATTGACATTAGCCTTATCAGTCTCAAAAATATATTTGAAAATTTTTAAGGAATTTTATGTAAGTTGACTAGTTATTTATAATTTCAGCCTTTATTGTAACATTCCCTTTCCACATTTCTCAGAGTAGCCAGTGTTTAAATTGGTGTTTTTGGATTTTAAGACAGAGCATGTTTCTGACATTTTGTTCACATTACTTGTTAGTTTCCTGCTAGGTTTGATAGTTGTAATTATTTGGCCTTGCACATTTTCTTGCTGCTAGCATTTTATTCTGACTTTCTGGTAGAGTAGTGAACCAGCATCTAGTATTGTAGTTAATTCTGTAACCTTGACTATTGTGAAAAAATTTAATTAATTTTCAGTGTTCTGTTTATTTGCATCACAGCGAGGTGTAGTTATATTGTAGCACAAGCAAGCAACTTTTGTGTTCTAAATTTTTTTTAATAAAAAAGGTTATTTTTAACCTTTTTACTCCCTTATCATTTTTTCAGATATCGCGATAATTGACTTTACATCTGTTGGTGTGATTGAACTAATTAATTAGCATTACCAAATCAAGTGTAACCCTACAAGGGGTGTCAGAATAAGTTACAGATTCTGTCACAAGACAAGGCAGCATTTAGTCTGACTTTCCCAAGATCGCAGGCTCCACTGGCACCAGAAGTCCATTGGAAAGCTTTGGGTTCATTATAGACACAATGCAAGTGTCAATGAGACCCAGTTTCAAGGACAGGCACTGATCTGATACAAAGACGTTGGGACTTTTTGGGGGAGGGGGGGTTGAACCAAGCAGTCAGAATTTCAGCTGAATCATTTTGTTTAAAAGACAACAAATATCATCCTGTATCCATTACTGTATCATGTATCCATTATCCACAATTTATATAATAATATTTTTTTATGTACTTACTCGAAGGATGATTCACTCTCTAAATCCAGAAATGAGAAATGTTCTATGATGTTTCAGTTATATCATTATATGTTAGCTGAATGGAATATGTAAAACATTTCATTTCAATTCTATTTAATGTTTAAAATATTAGAGATTACACATACATATTAAGAATTAATGTAGTTGATACAAAAATAATTTTTAACAATTTTTCCAGTGCATTTTCCACACACAACTTTGGAACAAGATGCACAATATTCTTGAGATTTGTTTCCATTGCATCTCTGTACGTGACACTTTTTTCTCTTTATATCCATTTTCTTTTCATGTGTTTTTTCTGAAGACTTAAGAAGGACCTTTGGGAGTTTTGAAGTTATGCACCACTCTTAACTCTCTCCTAATTTCAGTAGAAAGTCTCTCCTGTTAATGGTGTTTCCTGCTATACTTTTATAAATTATCCGTGTGTTCAAAGCTGAGTAATCCAAAATATTGAAAAAGATATGTACAGGCCATCATATAGAAGCCAATTTAACTGAATATTTTCAGCTTATCTGATCATGAATATTCACACCATACTTTGTTGCATTGTAAAATGTTATTGAATCAGGCAACTTCTTGAGACTGTTTGCAGTTTTTACAGTAGCATGTAATGAGCTCAGTAGAAAAAAGCTTTTGTTTCTTTTCCCTTGATAGATGGTAAGTGTGGTATTATCATGTTCCACTATTATCGACAAATAATGATTACTACGCATAGTTTTCAAAGATATAGGAATTTCTCTTCAGTTCTTTTCATTGTGCTGACCATAGTTGTATTTTTTTCTTTTAGCATTTCTGCTAATTTGATGCTAGTAAAGTAGTTATCCGTGGTAATATTCCTCCCTTTGTTTAGATGTGGCTCCGTTAATTTTATGACAACATTTTCAGACAAACGTAATTGAGGATTTGCTGTTTCATCTTTTCCTAGATAAGGAAATCCATTTCAGAGGTATTTAATATCAATGTTGCCAGATAACCAAAATTTTATTTCAAATTTCTCAGGTTTATTAGGCATATATTGTGTAAATCTACACCTAGCTTTAGCTGAGAATAATTGTTCATCAACTGTAATATTTCATCCTGGCCGGTAGCACGTTTTGCTATTTTCAACAAATTTGTTCCACATGTCTGATGCAAGAACAAATTTATTAGTCTGTAATCGAGTAGATCTTGTTGTCTTTTCATTGAACCTTAAGAATGGTTTTGTTTCTTTGATGTAGTTTCTTTGCAAAATGGTGTTCCCCACACTTCGGACCACAAGGCATATAAATCTAAGGCTATTTGCTCCTATTACTCCTTGAACGTATAGCGACAAAAGCATCTAACTGTTTCTTTTAGAACATTATAAGCAGGAACATGGCCGCAGACTGAATTTTTGGAATTTATTTCATTCCATATAGTGTTATCAGGAGCTGTAAACAGTTTTGCAAATACCATGATCCATTTTTGCCCATTTATTTCTGCTGAGTTCTTTTTTCGTTTACTTCACTGTTCTCGAATTCACTAATAGTTTGTGTCTGGATTTCATCTTCAGTTTCTACAGAAAAATTATCAATTTTTCCTCCGTCAGACTCATTTTCAGATAGCTCCTGCAACATTTTTTTAAATTTCTTTATTCGTAAGACCTTATTCCTGCTTATTAGACATATTTTGTAAAAGCTGAAAAAAGAAGAAAAATATCAGACTGTCAGAAAACGATATGGAATATATTTTAGCGTATGATTCTCACAGTGTAAAGGAAAGCAGGGTTCGTATGGTCCTTAAAAGTCCTTAATTTTTTCAAAAATGATTTTTGGAGCTTAAAAGTCCTTAATTTTGGCTAAAATGAATAAACGGTACTTAATTTTGCTCATTTGACATTTCTTATCATTTCTAATGATTGCCATTCTAAGTGTGAATTACGATTTCTCATGAATATGGAATTAAAATTACACTGGCTCTTAACCAATCTGTTGGCGGATTTGCATTGCAAACGATAAAAAAAAACAATTAGCTACCCGAACGAAAGTATCGGTGTCTGATTGGCTATTCACCCAATCTTTCGAAACAGGTGTTATCCATAAATTTAGGCAGATTGTGACGAAAGCGTGAAGCCGGAAGTTCTTTAAGAGGCGAAAGTGATGATGAAGGTGCTCGAGAAAAAAAAGGGGGGGGATTCTGAAAATATTTGCCAAAATTAGAGCAATCCCAACCTGGAAGGCCACAACCCTTCCGACGCCAATAGGAACGAGATGCCTGGAAAGTGCATTTTCAATAAACTGTGGCTTCATCAAGCTGACTACAAAGACTGGATATTGATGGATGGCAATCCTTAAATGTGGTCTTTGTCTGAAACAAATTGAAATTTCTAGAATGGGAGAGTCAGCGCTGAAAATTCACATGAAAATTAAGTTTCGTTTTATCATTTCAATTTGTTTTTACACGGTTTTGCTTAGCTTAATTTCTGTGTTTGTTTCAATTAAGCCATAAATTAATTTTTTATCACCTTCTACGGAGTTTATTCTCTTTTGCACATACTATATGTATGGGATATCGGGATTATGAGTTTATTTCTGCAGAGGGTCTGTTATCGATTTCGCGGGAAATCTGTTGGCTCCATTTCGATTTTAGGTCGCCAAGGGCAAATTCGGTAACGCTAGCTGAGAAAAAGTGAAGTTCGGAAATACGTTTTGAAGCTTCAATAGACAATTAAGTATTTGGTTTAAACCTATGTTGTTGATAGTAATGCATAATTTTTGCTAATGGCGATACAATTATTAGTTGAAAATAACTAACTAATTAAAAGTTTTTTAATATTTTTAAAGCTGAAAACAATATATATATATATATATATATATTTTTTATACTGTACAAAGTCCGAGGTCTGGACTCGTCGGGTATAATTTCTTGTTCAGTTATTAAGTTCCATTGTTCAAGTCCTGTAATTGCTGTGTCGAGAATTCCGAATAACTTGTCAATCAAAATTTTTTCTCGTTCAGTAACCTCTCTGTTACTTTCTTCACTATCGGTAGCTGTATTTTCTGGATTTAGAACCATACTACAGATTTCGCCCTCCGTTAATTGATTGATGATTGGGCATTGTCATCGCAATGAAAAACTTCTGTTTAACTTCGCTAAATTCTGCCGCCTGGTGCGGCCATGCGAGCTCTGGCGCTGGTTCTGGCTTTATGTGAATAACAAATCAGTTATTCTTAATTCAAATAGCACTAAATATAATCGTTTGTCCTATGAGTATCATTAACAAAATCTATTTTTAGCATAAGGAAAGAAATTTCTGCTAAATCTCCCCTTGTCAACATTTTAGCGCATTAAATTAAATCTGTAATCGGATAATACTCTGTTATTTGGCGTCGCTGCATGATTCATCACTCAAGTTGTCATCCGTTGATAAACATGCGGTGATGAAAGCAAAATACAATAAATAATGATTCGCGATTTCGGCATCAAGGATATAAAATATTAGTTGGTGTAAAATTAACAAATGTTTCGGTTTGAGATTATGCCAAGCAGATACGCAGCTATGGAGTCAAGTTACTAATCACACAAATTTATGCTAAAATAATTATTTCTTCAATAATGAGATATTTTATTTAGCGCCAAACTGAGATTAAGAATCGGATTTCCAGCATGTTTTTTTATGATGAGGAAAAAATCTAATGCGCGTGCGTAAAGCATACCCCTTCCCTTCAAAAAAGCCCTAAAAAATTGGTTGGTGGTGGCTTTGAGGTCCAGATTTTAGATCATTCCAGATATTGGATGTCCGGATCTCGGACTTTGTACTGTATATATATATATATACATCTTTCAAAATATAACTTACCAGTATGGATTCACTCTTTTAAAATAATTCTACTTTAATTAAACTTAGGAGATAATATAATCAATTAATCAATATTGTTTAGGAAATAATTTATATATAGTAAAAAATGTATATTTTCACTATTCAAGTATTCGCTTGTCACATGAACAGGCCTCTGTGGAAAGGGGCTTCTCTGTAAATAAAGCAATTGAAATTGAAAATTTAAGTGACTCATCATACATTTTTCAACGCACAGTATTTGATTACATAAAATTTTCTGGAGGTGTTCTTAATATCGAAATTAATAAAGAAATGAGATCAGCAGCAGCTTCTGCAAGAAGTGGAGTTCGTTATTTAGAAGTTCAGTATTTAGAAGAACAAAAATCTTTAACTAAATCTGAAAATTCAAAGAGGAAAAGAAATATTATTGAAGGAAGAAATTGATTATATGAAGCAGAAGAAAAAATTTCTTCAAAGGGACATTAAAGACATTAATGAAGAAGTAGATGCTTTAGCAGATGAAAGCTGAGACCAGCAGGAACATTGATTTGTTTATCAAAGCAAATGAACTTAGAAGAATAGTTAAAGAAAAGGAAATAGACATAAATAAATTAGATGTTAAAATAGCTGAAAAGATTTCAGATTTAAAAAAAGCACAAATGTTTTGTATCTTTTATTGTACAGTTTATTATTCTAGTATCTTTCAAAAAACCAAGGAAATAAATTGTATGTTTACAAATCAGTTATTTTAATCTGCAAAATATTCTTACATTGTGATTATAATAGTAGTTGACTATGTTTAAATAAATATCAAATAAGTTAAATAATAATCATGTAAATCTCTAAAATAGTGACTGTTATTAGTGTAAAATACACTTATACATGTTTTTCAAGAAATTATGTTCCTAATTTAATGTTATCTACTTCATAACTTGTAGGGAGTTAGTTTAATTTTCAAAATTGTTTTATGGTAAGTATTAAATTGAATTTAATAATAGTGCATAATACACACTTCTGTTAGTTTTTAAAGTGAAATTACAAGCATGAAGTCGGTTGTATGGATAATTGCTTTATTCTATTCATTTTTTTGTTTGCTGATAGGTCCTTAATTTTTTCTTTGATGGTCCTTAAAAGTCCTTAATTTTCATGTAAGGAAATGTGTACGACCCTGAAGGATAAGACTGAGGGAGATTCTATGTATAAAATATTTGGAACAGAAAAATCGTCTAACGTACAACGCAATTGTAAATAACTATTCGAACGAAAGTGGCATAAATCTCATCATCTTGCGTATTTTTTTCAAACGAATAGGTAATTGCAAACAAAGGAACAACAATTTATGTAGATATTACAAAGTCGTGAGCCACTCAGGTTTTTATCCCTTTTGGAGATAGTGTGAATGCAATCGAAAAATCCTTATCAGTGAATGTTTTTCATGTGTTATTTGACATGCCTCGAGCAGAAAGAGGGATAAAAGTAAAGGGGTCAAAATGACCCCCGTCCGCCGTTCTAGGAATACATGCCGATATTTCAAAAACTAAGTAACCTAGAATGCTGAAAATTTTTTACAAATATTTGCTATCTATTTAGGAAAAGTCAAAAAATTCCAAATGATTTCTTCCAATAAAAGAAAAGTAATCAATGGTTAAAAGTGTTCAGGGGTCAAAATGACCCCTACTGCTGTTCTAGTGTTAATATAGTATTTCATTGATATGTATTAATGTGTTAAGGATTCCTGTATATAAAAGGTTAACTTGTACACCAATAATTCTGTTTTAATGACAAATTTCCAAAAACCATAAGTTTATTTATATGGCTCATCTGAGAGCTGCAGTTAAGAAAGGAAACTAATCCTTTTACATAGCAAATATCCTAACAGAGTCTGTGGTAATCTGTGTGTCCAACACCGCCTTTACAAGTGTAATTAATGATGTTTCAGCTGAATTTGTTTACTTACTGCTCTACATAATGATAAATATTAAAATTTAAAACAAATCTGTTGTAAAGCCTTTTTTTGCCCTATGCTAGACAAATTTTTGCTGGTTTAAGTGTATTTTTCATTACTTATTTCATATTGGAATGCCAACTGTATGTCATTGTTGTTTCTATTTAAATTATTGGAACTTCTGGTAAAAGTTTAATTAAGTATTAATGCAAGAGAATGTCTTTTTATCATATTTGAAAGTACAGGAAGTTCCTTATTGGATTTATTTGAAAATAGTAGCTATGCTCATACTTTTATTAAAGCTTAAAAATACAGGGGCATTATGTTTCTCTATCTCCTTCTCTTTTTTTGGGGGGGGGTTGACCGAGAAAACAAAAGAATATACTCTCAACTGCAACACAGGTAAGTAAAGAACAAAGTGCCAAAAATATATTCTGAATCCAGTTTATATGATTTAGAGTTATACTAAAGCTTTTCAGAAGTGAGATGCAGACTGGATTTTTCTCTCTCAAATGCCTGTTTAATTTGTCTCAAATGGCTGTTCTCAAATGCCGTGAAGAAACTGAATGTTATGTAATCATTAGTCCAAAGAGGCTTTGTCCCTGTAGGACTTCTATTTTCGTTTTGCGATTTTGCGTTGGTTCACTATAAATGTCCATTTTACTTTTCAAACTGTTACCACCAAATTTTAGAGTCCTGCATTATATTTGAAGAAAATGAATGATGAAAAATCTGCATAAATGTATATATATTTCTTGCATTGTGATAAAACAACGATACATAGAACCATCGAATTTTGAATGGCGTAATCCTCCTATGAATATGGGCATATGGAAGACCAACTTTGAAATTTGGAATTTGTTTTATTATCAATTTCATATTTTGTAAAACTTGAATGAATTTTTGATTAACGAACTCAAGGATTTCAAAGCGAGCCATGGCAACGTTGTACCAAAAAAACATTTTTTATCTCCAGCGCATGAATCTCTGTATCGGAAATTCTAAAGATATGCTCATTTAAAAATTATTTTGCGATTTAGCTGTTGAACTGAATTTTATGGTTTAAGTGCGAAGAACGTGATATTTAATAAATAAATGTAGCATACAAAATGTTAAAAAAATGCCCCTTTGGATGTAATTTAAAATCTGAAACATTTCAGATTTTCTTTTTTTTTTTCCCCAAGTATTTTTTCTATTAGTTTTTTTTTTTTTTTTTTTTTTTTTTTTTTCTAAATTACTCACTTATTTTTGGCCTTCTTATTTTTTCAAGGGTCTTGGCAGATCCAAGACGAAAAAGCAAAAAGATTGCTATCCGTGGTATTTTCCCTGGTGCCAGAGTTGTCCGTGGTGTTGATTGGCAATGGGAAGATCAAGATGGAGGTAATGGTCGGCGAGGTAAGGTAACTGAAATACAAGATTGGAGTGCTGCAAGTCCTCGCAGTGCTGCATATGTCATGTGGGATAATGGAGCCAAAAATTTGTATCGTGTTGGATTTGAAGGCATGGTATGGTTTTTCATTAGATTTTTATTGTCTAGAATTAAACATTATTTTTATCTTTTTTCAAGGTGGTAGAATTTTTAACTCAAGCTAGTATATTATCTACAGAATCAACAACTCTGACAATAATAATTTATCATTTAAGAGGTGTTGCAAAAAACGTTTTTGGAAATAGAAAGAAACTTGTTTACTATACCACAAAATCTCAAAAGTAAGATCTTACTTTTTTCCCTATATTTTTGTTCTAAAATTTGAGTCTTGGAGTATTTTGATAAGTGAAATTGCCAGTTGAGAGGAAGGAGTTTAATGATCATGCTACATAGAATAATTACACTGTTTAAATACTAAATAAACTACATCATACAGTACCGCAGTACAGTAATAATGCTGTATATAAATGGATAACTATTGCTAATTATAATAGTCATGTCTAAGAGTGATTTCAATTTAGGCCTGCATCCATTGTACTATGTACTTGAAAACAAATAGGTAACAATGTATGATTAGCTTTTCTTTACCTTAGTCACAGTTAACAGGATTATTATTTTATGAAATTCTGAAGAAAAGATAATAAAACTGAGATTCTCTTTATCTAAATTACTACAATACAAAATAATTATTCGTATGCATTTTTATTTCTAAAAATCTACCCTAAAATTTAAGTAGTGTCTTATTTTTGAGTAAATATGAAGTTTTATAATTATTAAGTTAGATAATGCTGATAATACTTTTTAAAATTAGACTGCCACATTTAATCTATCATCTTTCTTTCGTGAACGTTCTTTTAACTTTGTGTGTGATGATTTTATTGAATATGACAGTGAAGAAAATTAATGCAGAAATTTGCAAAAAAACTTTAGCTGACTTATAGTACTGGGCAGGTGGTTGAAGTATTTCAAAAAAGGCCAAATGTCAGTTGAAGAGAGTCATAATTTTAGATATCATTTAAATAGTAAAATGTCAGAAAAATTTGCAGAACTGCATGAATCATCTTATAATATTCCAGGAAGATGATGGTATTTGTGAATTTTTGCCGCATATGCCAGTAAATTTTAGAGTTGTCCCTGAATATGGGAAGGGTTGCTGTGAAATAGATGCCATGAAAGATTGTGCAACGCAGCAATTTTTGGCATCCAGTAATATGTACATGTCATTATCTTACCTTACTATCAAGTTTAGTTCCTAGCAACTCTTCTCTAAAATGAAAATAAAGCTGAAAAGGGAAGACTTTAGTGCCATTAGAAAAATCAGAACAAATTGCAAGTACATTGAATGCTGCAACCAAAAATAAATTCGTGAGGGCTTTCTAGCTGTGGGAAGGGGATTTAGATTAATAATTCTATTATAATGATTTTATTGCATGTCAGAGTGAATGATGTATGAAAAAGCAAGTATGTATTAAATTTTGTTATATGTTTGATAAGACTAATGCAGAAATTTGTGAAAATATTAGCTAGCTTACAGTGCAGGGCTTTTGGCCGCATGTGTAGGTGGTTGAGATACACTGGTGAGCAAAAATTAAGGACGAAGTCGAAAAATTAGCATATCAGCTGAACGAAGAGGCAGAGCGGACAGAAAGACAAATCGGGAGATTAAGTAAGGTGATGTACGGTAGCACATGTGCAGATATGCAGGTAGACGTAATGGGGGAGTGTTTGAGTAGTATAAAGCATGTTGTCGGTGTAAGATCTGTATTTCTGGCAAAGAGATTGCACGCCATATAGCAGTTAAAATTACACTGAGTTGCTGCCTCAGTGAAAAATGGCGAATAATCAATCTGTTAGACGACATCTGGATGCTTTTACCCGAGGTCGAATCATTGGGAAGTTGGAGGAAGGCCGCAGTGTGACAAGTGTGGCTGCAGAGTTCGGAATTGCTCACAGCATTGTTTCACGACTTTGGAGACAATTTCAAACTACAGGAACAGCTATCCGGGGGTTTAGTAGTGGTCGTCCACGAGGAAGCACACCCGCAGATGACCGGTATATTGCTTACAGGCTAGAAGAAACAAGCGGCAGACAGCAGGAGAAATCGCTAGACACATGACACAGGTGACTGGACGACCGATATCGCGTTTTACCCTGGCCAGAAGACTGCACGTTGGTGGTCTGTTTGCACGAAGCCCTGTACGGTGTGTACCTCTAGCGCCTGCCCATCGGAGAAATCGTTCTCTGTGGTGCCGGGAACATCGGAATTGGAGAGACAATGAATGGGAATGAGTGCTCTTTACAGATGAGAGCAGATTCAGTCTGAGTAGTGATTCTCATCATATACTCATCTGGAGAGAGCGGGGAAGCCGCAATCATCCCTCGAACATCATTGAAAGGGACAGGTGTGGAGGTGGCGGTGTTCTCGTTTCGGGAGGCATCATGCTTGGTAGTTGTAAAGACCTTCACATCTTCGGCGCAGGTTCAGTCAATGGGACCCGTTATTGTAACAGATTCTTCTTCCATATGTGCGTCTTTTTAGAGGCGCTATGGGTCCGCAGTTCCTTTTCATGGACGACAATGTACCATGTCATTGCACAGTAGCTGCCGAACAGCTCTTAGAGAGTGAGGATATTTAACGTATGGATTGGCCGGCATGATCTCCGGATCTCAATCCCATTGAGCATGTATGGGATTTTCTAGGCAGACGCTTGGCAGCTCGTACCTTACCACCAGTAATGATTCCGGAGCTTCGATTGGCACTGCAAGACAAATGGGCAGCGATGCCTCAACAACTCATTGACACCCTCATTCTCAGCATGGGCAGATGCTGTGAAACCTGCCTAGCAGTCGGGAGATCATATCCCCTATTAAAGACCGGATGTTTCTTGCTGGATACCCATCACAGGGATGTTTCGGCCTTCAGTCGCATTGCGCTCCATGCTACTTTTTCAATAAAGCTTCTTTTTATCCCTCTGATTTCTTTTTTAGTAAGTGTTGCTTACATTACTCATGTCCTTACGTATTGGGGATCTTACAGTATCAGAACTTGTGTTCCTCTTAACTTGCTTTGGAAACATGAACTGTCCTGACTCAGAACAGGGAGCTTACTCAAGCTATGTTCAATAAATTGTGAAGTAGACAATACACACAGAGGGGTATACGAAACC